GACAGGTGTTGGGGGACGGCCAGAGGTAGTCATCGAGGGCAGCATGGACGGCAGCACTTGGACGGTCAGTTCTAACTCCATTTAAATTTCTCAAAGAAAAAGGAATGTTTTAGTTGTTGCAGGTGTACATTCAAAAGAAATCATCCAGTGATTTATACAGTTTCACTGTATTCTAATGCTCTGGGTTTTTAAAGATGTATTTAGAAGATAAAGTCTCCAGACTTTTCTTTTGCTCTACATTTGTAGCTTCTAAAAATATAAAAGCAGTGCTAGTGTCCAAAACATTGAAGTTTAATGTTTAATTAGAGTATTAAATATAACTGTTCAGACTTGCAGGTGTCCTCCTGCTTCAGTGTTATGTATTTAACCTTTTCAGTGGTTTGGCTTTTACATTAGTACAGTCAGTATTTTAAGCTACTTTATTAAGCAGCATGACACAAATCTGCCAGATTTAAGGCCTATTCAGACAGCATTAGTCTTACATGAGGAGGTGGGCTCATGTAATTTTTACCAGTGTTTCTAAGTGAGTTTAGTCCTGTCACATGTGCCATTTAAAAAGGTGCTGTGTAACTTCACTGCCCTGTCTCATGTACAATTCACACACAATGAAATACAATTTTTATTCTGTAATTCAAAATTACAGAAAAAATCGGATTTTATGAGCTTAAGTTGGTCGTGCGAATTCCCAGTTCTTAATGGCAATGCTAATGACGTGCTGCATTCGCTTAGGGCAGCAAGGTAAATGGTTAGCAAATAATGGCTAAATTAAATTTTCTGACATTCGGCTGTGTTTTGCAGTAAAGGTGGTGTGAAAATAGTAGCCACTCCCATCTCTGTCAGTTATACTGAGTCTTCTTATCCAGTACGAATCAGTCAAAAACATTAAACATCCAGTGGTAAACTGGCATTACCCTGCTTGGAAAACGAATCTTGTCTGACTGGGCTTTAGCTAGCTACTGTTCGGCATATAATTTGAAGACGGGTGGCACAAATTTAGAAAACAGTTTATGGCAACTAGGTATTAATAGGTAGGAATAATAGGTAGGGATAAAAAAAGAATAGGCAGGAAATACAGGATATTTGGTGATTTGGTTTTCACAATGTAAGTTTGAATCAGCTATTTGGACTTGTTCACCATGTTGTGAATAATTTTCAGTTTTTCCCAGTTTTATATTTCATGTTGCACAGTGTTACCAAGTCGCTTGTCATTGATGTCAGAAATATAGCTTCATTAATCATTGACTTCCTGTCACTTTTATAGCTTGCTAGAATTAGTGTCCTAAACCACTTCTCCCTTTGTTCTTTAGGAAATAGAGTTTATGTATAAACCAGGTAATGTGAGTGCAGCACCCCCGGTGGTGACTCCGCACCAGCCTAGATTGGACTGGCAGATGTGGTTTGCAGCACTGGGGCCGCACACCCAGAGCCCCTGGTTCAGCAGCCTTGTCCACCGACTCCTGCAGGGCAAGAAAGATGGTAAGGGGATTAACAGAGGAAAGCTGTACGGGTTGTGGGTAACTGTAATTTATTGGAAACGTGTATGAATGGCTACATTTTGTGTGTTAAACAGTGATAAGACTCATTCAAACAGATGAGTCTCAGTACCCGTTCAGTCAGCAGCCTCCAGCGTACATCCGTGCTCACCGCTACAAATACTGGTACACAGAGCCCAAAGAGGACGGGTGAGTGAACCTAACACATCCACCTAGTACAAATTTATCACTGGGAGCCATTTAACGACAGCTTTCATTAACAAAAGATGAAATTTAATATGTGTAGTGTAATTTTTCTCAGGCTGTTAAGCAATATTTGTCAGTCACTCTTACAGATCAGCCTTCTAATCAAGTGCATTTGTGTTTATGTAGGTCATTTCCACAGAGATGGTGGAGGAGGATCTATGTAGAAGAGTTTTACCCTGTTGTCCATCTGGGTAATGCTTTTTTGGAGCACATGCTTTCACAGCATGGTCTGAAGGTAAGAATATGAGGTTAACACAGTAAGAAGGGGGTTCCTTAAAAGCTGAGCTTCAAAATTATAGCGCTGTTTTAACAACCTTTTGTTTCTGAAATAAAAACTTTAAAGGACAGGAACAAAATGTTTAAATGGGTATTTCCACCAGTTTGCAAAAGAATTCTGCATAGTTCAACCATTGAGATGCAAAGTCATTCAGAGTGGTTTAATCTGAAATAATGCGTTTAACAGAAATTTACTGATTCAGATTTTCTTTGCAATGGTGATTGGAACCAGGGATTGCAACACAAATAAAGCCATTTTGTGAACTGTCCAGAACGATCAGCGAACCATCAAGTGTCTTCTGAGTTTTTATATGTAACTGGTAATGTTAAAAAAGCGGTAAATCTGAAAAAAATAAGTTTTGTTTGGGAACTATTTTTCTTTACAACACCCCGCATGTACGACTTTGCCATGAATGTGTTTTGAAAAGATTATTTAAGCCAAAAGCTGATCTCAAAAAGTCTCCGTCATCATACAGCATGTTCGTAAGTATTTCTTGTATAAACTTTCTCTAAGGTAGCTTTTAGAGACTTTAAATGCTTCAGACTGTCACCACCAATATGAACAATTCTGAATCTATATGTTTTTGTAGAGCGGAGCATTTCACATCAAACCTCCCTGAATGACTTTGATTTCATATTAACTTTTTAATTACACAGAAATGTGTAAGAACAACTTTAATGTGTGTTAATGTATTAGGATTTTATTCCAAGTAATTTTGTACCATTTCTATATGTCATGTCAATCCACTGGTCATGAAATGTTTACATGATGCAAAAGGCAGCCATAACTTATTTGTTATGTTATTTCTGCTGATCTGATGTTTGTATGACACATGGTATGTAGCGGTTTCTGTGCAGTGTGATCTGTATGTTTTTCAGGATAAGCCTCCTGTGCGGCGGGGATCAGAGGCTTGGCTGCCTCGTGTGTTGAAGCATGTTGGTGAGCATGTGCGGGACGTGCCTACTCCACTCTTACTGTGGACACTCTTCAGCTCAGCAGTCACAATCTGTGTGATCAACTCTCTCCGCTCACACACTCGCTGTCCACCGCACTCGCACAGATCAGCCTCCAAACACACTCCACAGCAGACAGATGGGAAAGAAGAAGAGGAGAAAAAGGAAATGAAAGAGAAACAGGAGAAGGAGAAAGTAATAAAAGATGCAGAAGGAGAAAAGAATGAGGATGAGGGGGAGGAAGAGGAGGGGGAGGAGGAGGAGGAGGAGGAGCAGCAGGAGGAGGATGAGGAAGGGGAGGAGGAGGAAGGGGAGGAGGAGGAGGAGGAGGAGGAGGAGGAGGAGGAGGTGGTGAGTGAAGAGAGTAAGGGAAATCGTGATGAAGAGCCAGATCATCTTAGGAAAAGGAAATGATCTTGGTGCTATAGTTGGACTTATATACCATCTCAGCTGGAGGAGAAGTTGATATATCCAGTCCTTACTGCTATACTGTCTCCTCCCCCTTAACATCAGCACTTGTTAATGTCTGTCTCTTTCTGTCACAATGTGCACACATCCTCTCTCATTTAGGAACAGTCAGGGGGTATATTTTAATAAAGCTGGACAACTAGCCAAAAGTGAGGACTGTCCAATGGAAAACATACCTCTCCTACTGGACAGGCTTGATTTTGGGCTTAACTTATCTGGTTTAACTGTCAAATTCTGCTTCAAAAAGGTCTTCACGCAGCTGATTGCCCCTTGTTTAGCAGCAGGATGAGTAAACCGTTGCTCTTAAATGGTAGTTGTTGAAAAAGGCCAAATCCATATCAAATCCTCTTTGTTGTCTTCCATATCAAAACCAATTAAGAGATAATTATTTAAATCCATACATACTGTACACTCTCTTACACTAAGTTGTCTTTATATACTAAATAGGGAATTTCACACTACTTGCTTTTTCCAAATATTTAATAGGCTATTTAAATAGTTAAAACTTGACTTTTTGTGCATATGTGTATTTAAAGAAAGGCTGTTGGTTATGACCCATTGTAGTCAAACACTGTGTGAGGTTTCTCTGTTAGGATCCCACATCACAGAATTTTAAATTTGCTTTTGTTCACACCTGCATATATACTTGTATGACTCCTGTGTAAACTTTAGTATTATTTATGTGTGATAAAAACCTTAAACAATTTGGCATAATGACTTGTTTTACTCAGTTTTGCCTGACACTGGAAGTCTGGCCCATTACATTATTGGCTCCTGCCTTGCAAGGATTCTGAAAACCTGTCAGTTGACTGGCCAACAGGATTACACCTTCAAAAGGCTGCGTTGTAGATTCTGCTAGGGCTGAACATTTTGGGGAAAATACTGAATTGTGATTTTTCTGACTAATGTTGTGATTGTGATGTTAGTGCAATTATTTTCTATAAATTAAGTTTCAGGCCTTTTTTTGTTGTTTTCTAGAAGACAAGCACATCCATTTTTCGAATGTTGAATGTAGTATGCAGGCCTGCCAGTTCACAAGCTCTGTATTATAAGGTTAAATTTTCCCCTTTTAGCGTTTAATATTATAGGACAGAATAAAAATGGCTGCCCTTGCAAACTGAAAATCGCACTCTTTCAAACTGCAATTTTGATATTAAAAATGATTAGCCTTAAAATCTGCTGTTGATTGCTGCTGTATGATTGGCAAATCCAATTCTCTGATCCAATCAGAAGGTTTCTGACCTCATATAAAAATCAGGACCTGGCCACAGCCAACATGCGGTTATACTGTTTTATGCTTATATTTTCTAACAATGACAGTTCATACTTTCTGGACCCTCAGTGCTTTTGGTTCATCAGGATCATCATATCTGCTCATCCTAATGGTCATGCAGTTATGTGTGTTTGTATTTGTTTTTATGTTCAGCTCTTCAGCCTCTTGTTAATGTGCCTCCTGAGTCCCCCCTTTATCCCCGAAAGTTGTGCACTTCTTACCTTTTTGCCTTTTGTTTCTTTTCCTCCTTTATTGTGATGTTTTTTTTTAAAGACAAATATGAATCGAAACACATTTTATATCATTTATAATAAAACATCCATCTTTTTTGGTCCAAAAAGGAACTAATTGCACAGTTCAAATCTTTCACTGCAGTCTGACATTTTACAGTTAAATGTTCCTCTGACTGAATCTGATGCAAATGACTCTTAAAAGTGTTCTCTCTTTTTTTCTGTACTTAAAGCATGATTTGTACCTTTCAGTTTCAAGAGGAAAGTAAATGAGAGGGAACATGTGAAATTAAGAAAGGAAAGGAGTTCAGGAGAAAATAGAAACAGGAAATGAAGAGAAAAGGAGAAGAGCAGAAGGGAGAAAGGTGTGTAATGTAGACATTCAAATCTGTAGTACATTAATTATGTTCATCCACTGTAAGTGTCCCCTGTGCCTTTCAGATGATGATGATGATGATGATAATAGGCAGCAAAGCAGCAGGTGTCGTAGAGGAAGGATGATGTAGGTTTTGAGGAGGTGAGCTTTAGACCCAAAGTGCAGTTCATTCACTAGACCTAATTACACATCAGCATATACTGATGAAGGATGATGAATGTGCTCACACGTCCCTTACACATCAGCGTACAGTATAGAGGTTATAAACCGGTTGACAAGGCACTATTCATTGTGGTAGCTGGATCAAATATAAAGAAAATGAGCTACTTAACCAAAACTTTCAAAAAGAAGGACAGAGGAATACAATAGTCTTACTATCGTATCAGTTCAGATTAGCAAAGGCTTTCATTTTGTTTAAAGCTTATTCAACCTTGCCATCATTCTGAGATGTCTTCCTTAAGCAAGCACCATTCTGTGAGAGCTCAAATTAGCATTGGTTAATTTATGTGCGGAAGACGTTTTGCATGTGCACACAGATACTGCTGGTCAGGCAGTGTGGCGTGTTCACCAGGACAGTACTCCCGGGCAGTACTTGTCAATGAGAGACTGATAATACGGCTTCAGCTGCTCCACGTCCGGCAGATCCGTGCTTTTAGTGTATAAATCAAACTTGCTGTAGAGGAAAACACGTCACTTTAGTATACAGCTTATCAGTAATGTGTGTTTCAGTGTTAACATTGTTATTAGCTTTAAGTGGTAGTTTGGCAAATTTATGCAATTTCCACCTTATTATTTGGGTATAGATGATTTGCTAAGACATGTTCAGTATCCAAAGTTTATTTCTTTAGTTTTCCAGCTTATTGAATGAGGCACAGTAAAACACAGCCAGAACAGGGGTAATTTGCTAATGTCAGTCTTAAAGGTACAACAACAAAAACAGCCTGTTGAATTCTAAGGGATAAAGAGAGGTCGGAAAATGGTCATGTAAAAATGAATTATAACCATTTTTGGTGCATTAAACTGTACACTTTGTAAGTCGACCTCAAGGAGCAAAATAAAGTACAAGACAATTATAGGATATGGGCCCTATAAGTTATCTTAGTGGTTGCTTATATGTTTTCTAATAGTGAACAACATGCCATGGAGCACGTATTACGTTCCAGTCCTTGTGAGCCAAAATACTGCAGACGTCAGCACACTGCCTCATTAAACACACCTAATTTAGCTCATCAGGTAATTAGCAAGGCCTTCAGGAATTTAATTCAGAGTGTTAGATGAGGGTAAGCGCTAATAATCTCTGTCCCCAGTTTGACATCCATGCCACAAAGTATTGTACTATAATAATAGCAGCATCTTGAAGCCTGAATTTTGCACTTTTGTCCATGGCAAAACTAAAGAAACAATCTTAGGACATCAAACTTCTTAACTGAACAACTGGGGAAATTGTATAAATTTAATTTTTGACAAACTGTTGTTTTAAAGGAAAATACCATGTGCAAACTCATTATTGAAGTTAATTTAAAATCGTGTTTTTAAATCATTGAGATATTGAGCATTTACATAGACAAATGTATATGTTATATATATTAATTTCAGAAAGCTAATACTTAGTGCATACTTGAACTCTTTGACCCAGGGCAACATCTTCAGATCTTTCTCATTGCACAGATGCATGTAGTTTCCGTGAGTATGCCAGGGGTAGAACGAGTGGAACCGGATCATATACAGACCCTGAGAGGAATGGATGTAAGAGTACAAACTATGGGTAAAGCTCGCTGTGCAGAGTAAAAAGGTTGCTTAATGTTAATATCTACTAAAATGGTCAGATTTGCCATATGAGTGTAAGTTGAGGAAAGATTAAACACTGACCTCCTCAGGGATGGGACACTTGTTAAATTTCATCACTTGGTACAGATACTCTACAAAAGACAAACAGTTCATTAGCTCGTCAGATCTTCTTTGTCATCGTTGTGCATTCCAGCATTAGAATGTGTTTTTTGTTTTGAGGTGTACAGGTTTAATGAAGGGTGGTAACTTATGCCTCAGCAGTCCCATTTTCTCTAAGCCATTTGGGTACCCATTGTACTCACCATCATGTCCCCAGGACATCAGCACATTATCAAGACCACAGTGAGTTTCGTAGATTCCGCACTCGGTGCTGTAGAAAAAAGAGAATGAGTTGAGAAGAGAGTAGAAGGTTCAAGATTGCATTTGTATGACCTTGGATTACATTCTGTTTTTTAGATTTATATTTAAAGACCTAAGGTTAATCTTCAATGGATTGTCCAGAGTTACTCGTTTTTGACGTTTTTGATAAAGGTAATCCTATAGGAATATTACATGTTTGCATTGCATTGCGTTCTCTGTAGTGCTAATTAAGGATAATTAGTAAGTACATGGAAAACATTGGACATCTGCCGTTCCCATATTGGTGCAACCCTAAAATCTAGTCTGAAATAGCACACCCTCACATTGTTTAATGGCACATTGCAAGCTGTGTATTTTTTCCTGTGAGGTACTATAGTGTTCGAGTAGTTTGAGCATAATGGCCTCTTTTAGATGCTCATATTAAAGTGCTTTAATTTAAAATAGCTTTTTTTAAACTCATTTTTTGAGAAAAAGTATTGCCTTGCTATATCTACAAGTACACAAGACTTCCAATATCAGTATCAGAAAAGAAAATCATTATTCTCTGTTCTATAGTACTGAGTGTGTTAGTTTGTATGTAAGTGTTGCTTATTACTTCAGGCTGCTGTTCTTGTCATCTGGATTGTCCACAAATGTAGAGTCTCTGAAAACGATCGCGTTCTGGAAGCGGCAACCTACAGGATATGTATCTCCAACCACTGCCCACTTAAATATACACAAACAAGGTATCAAGAAGTCATCTGTGGGCCGGGTTGGGCAACATACTTGGAAAAAGTAGTGATGACTAAATACTGAATACACTGTTTTAAATGTATTCTGTAACATATTTCACTACAACACATAAAGTAATACATTCAGAATACATTTACAATACATTTTAGTAAGGCATATAGGAAAACCTTTTTTTATGCAATTCACACTGTTGCTGGATGTTACTGGTTGCCGGTTTTCTTCATGTACTTATTCTCTTAATTCATTTCATGAAAAATTCACTTATTTAAATGAAGTTCTGAAAATTCTCAACTTTTTTTTCTCATCGCCTGCTTCAGTGCACTGCTGCTATCACAGTACCCCAAGTACATCAGTGCTAAACTCGCAAACATGTCCACTAGTGAGGAGATTAGTAGTTTGATCATCCCTCAAAAGGGCTCAGTAATGCTGAAATTAAAAACTTGATCACGTTGATTTAACAGTCTACTCAGGCTTTAGTATGAACTTTAGTGTTTGTAAAAAAGCCTTTAATTGAGGTCCTCTTTAGAGTTTTCTAACAAGTATGTTTGCTACATGCAGTGCACTCATTCTGAAATAGTAAAGAACTGTAGTTTTTTAATTATTTTTTATTACTTGGACTGAATACAGATACAGTTTGGTGATTTTGCTGCTCTAGCACATCCACTTAACCCGGCAGTTAACTGCAAAGTTGATCCAAAGTGTTTGAGCAGCCAAATCACCAAACTGTGCAGAACTCTGGCTCTCCAGGACCCGAGTTCCTCAGCCTTGGTGCAGTGTATAAAGAAGTTTAATTAATCTGTCACTTACCTGTGGCTCTCCCCAGAGGGCCATGATTTTACCAATGTCATGGATCAAGCCTACCAGCTGGAACCAGTCTGGAGAAAGAGAGCATGGTAAGAGGAATTAGCATGATTGTTCTTTTGTGTGTAGTGCTAATGTAAGCTTTCACTGTTAAAACTTTAATCTTACCCTACCACTGCTTTCATGGAGTTATTGATTTGTACCTTAGGTAAATAATACTGTAACAACTGATTCCCTGAAGTTCATGTGGGGCAGTGTGGGGTGAATGCCATGCTGGTCTCTCACCCTTATCTGGGTGCTCCCTGCGGATGCCCTCAGCAGTTTGGAAGGCGTGGAAAGAGTTTGGGAAGTCGACATCAGGGTCGGACTCATCGATCAGCTGGTCCAGACGGTCAATACTCTCCATCACAGTCATACGAGAATGAGTACAGCCCGCCCATTCTACATGCTGGAGCAGAGGACAGAGATTAAGGACAGATGTAAAGAACGATTATATAATGTGCTCCTTCGTTTGTTTACTTTTTTTCTTGTAATAAAACATCCTGTTTCAGAAGAACATTAACTAGTTTCTTGTGATCATTAGTGGAATGTGGAAGTTTACGTGGAATGGAACTGATTAGGTTTCAGAATTTGTCCCAAAAGTTTTTTGAAGTTTGAATGTGTCACAATTTTTATTATTAGTAGTTTTTAATGATTAACATTTGACGTAGACATTTGACGTACACTAGTTAGATGGGAGGAGTCAGGGAGATAGAGTAGGGGTCACAGAGAGGAGGAGAGTGGCACTGGCTTACATCAAAAACCTCACTGAAGTCTAATTTGGATTGAGATGACATTTTGTTTGTAAAGAGCTCATATCCCACACTTTCCTTGCACTCTATCTTTTCCCCTAACGCTCACTTATGACCTTTTATGAGGTTTTATGTACCAAAAACATGATTTTCCAGCCTCTTTTTAATTCTTAGAATTAAACCGTCTGTTTTTGTTACTGTGCCTTTAAGACAGATCAAACTTCATTTCATCACTGTTAAAAAAAGGTATCCCCAAAATAATGACTTTATAGAAGAAGGAAAAAACATTCAGAATTGTTCATGTAAGTTACTGTAATGAGACTTAGTAATTTTAGAGTATTTCTACTGATCATTCTTGACACAGTGTGAAAGACAGCTGCTGCCCATAACCAGTTACCTAGTGACAAACACTGGTCTAAATGTAATAATTACGTGTTCAAAAACACATAATATACATTTATATATTGCATATTTTAAACACATAACGTGTTTACATATAAATGTATATCATGTAAATGTATATCATGCGTTTTTAAATATATTACTGCATTTAGATCAGTGTTTAAAAACACAATATATACATTTATATGCTAACATTTAGGAAATTACTTTGTCAACTGTCATTGATTCTAGATAGCACTGTTTGTTTTGTGTATGAGTAACTGTTCAGGAAAGATTACATACTGACCTTTTGTTTGACAAAGTCCAGGGTCTGATGTTTGTGCATCAGTTTGTATGTGTTGAACACACGCTCAAAAAGATCTCCACTCTGTCTCACACACATGCAAAACGGCAACAAAAAGATTTTTAATATGCTGTGACAAAATACTGATATTTCAGACCTTTTTGCAGTTTTCATTCTTGGAGAGGTTTACCTCAAAGTTTCTAAATTGAGATTTGTCTTTGCCTTCTTGTAGCGGGTACTCAGGACGGTATGCTAGTGAGGGGTCGGGACCCTGACATGGGACAGAAGACAATGATTTGCATTTCCAGCACAAAATGTGGTAACTCAGTGAGAACTTTTATGTTATTGGTATATGAAGTATTTATTGCCCTTGACATTTAACTAACCCCCCCCCCTGAAAAAAAAAAAAAAAAAAATTGAACTTGCACACTAGATATTTTACTTCAAGTAATATTACCTTGTACTTGATTTCTTCAGTAGTAAAGAACATGAATAGATGAATACACATGTAGAGTGCAGAGAGCTACTCACCAGGTTAATCACCCTCATGTTGAAGCTGGGTTGTCTGAGGCTCTTGAGTGTGATGATAGGAGATGCTGTGTTTCTGTATCTCACTTCTTGACTGCCCTATTTATGAACTCACACAAACACACACTGCACAGGAAGACTTCTCCGTTTTGGGAGACGAGTAGTGACACTTTAACCTTCCAGAGAAAATACTTTTGCTGGAACGTGTGTGTGTGTGTGTCTGTGTACGTGCGTTTGTGAGTGTGTGTGTGTTTGTTCTGTTGGCTTCCATATTTCTGTAGCTCTTTGCTGTGTTCATCAGGATTTGGGGGTAAGATTTTAACTCAAGCAGAGCCAGCTCAGACTGGATTCTCTGCACCATTAGAGTGACTAAGGCGTTTCAGGAGACATTTTAACTGCAACTCACTCATTTACTGATGAATACTTTACTAGACTTTGCGTGTGTGTGCTTGTGTTTGTGCTGGTCAAAACCGCTTTGGATTTTAAGTGATGAGTGAATGAGCTGAGGTGCTGTCTTGTCCTTAATTCACCTTAGTCATGTATCTCCCAGCTTAGTCAGGTGGAATTTAAATGTTGAAATAAAAGGCATTCGACCACATAGTTAATGACTTTAAAATGTACTTTAATATACAAGTCAGAATCTCTTTAATAAAGTTAAGTTGTTAAAGGGATTCTTTTTTTTTTCAAAATTTCTGCATAATTCAATCACTGAGATGTAAACAAAGTCATTCATAGTGGTTTGATGTGGGAAACTTCATTGTAGAGAAACTCACTGATAATGTCTACAACACAAACATAGCCATTTTATTTACTGTCCAGACCAGTGAACCTACACATCTTTTATATGTAATATTGATGGTAAAATAACAGTAAATCTGAAAAAAGAAGTTTTCTTTGGGGACTGTTTTGCCTTACAACACCCTGCATGTACCTCCATGCCATAACTGTGCTTTAATAAATATGTTTTAGCCCAAAACATCTCATATCAGGCAGCGTATCCATAACTATTTTGTGTAATAACGTTCTGTGTTGTAGCTTTTAGAGGCATTAAACACTTGAGACTTCTGGTTCCTATCACCTCCACTGTTAACATTTCTGATTTAGTAAGTTTCTCTAGAACAGAGCATTTCACATCAAACCACTCTGAATCACTTTATTTGCATTTTATTGACTTCATTATGCAGAAAATTTGAAAAAAAAAACAGTTGTATTTCCCTTGAAGCACTAAAAATGTGAATGCACTAAAATGATAGGGTGGATTCAGGTAAATGGGACAGTGTATACAAATAATCTGGGTGTAGGTTATCAGCCCTGAATGACAATTAACAAAGTTTACCTTTCCTCATTGAGGAAGCATCAGCTAAAATGTGAATAAACAGGAGTTCTGGAAGTGTCCCAAAATACCTTTAGTTATTTCATATTTTGATTTGACCCTGTGTGTGTGGTCGTGGGTATGAGTCTGTGTAACACCCCTGTTTTTTATTGGCTCCTGGTGTGGGGGGAGAGACAGCAGTGTAATTGTTACTATGTCAGAGGTGCTGAGTAAACAGTGAGAGGTCAAAACTCAACACACATGCTACCATATAGAAACCTAGCATTCATCTCACCCTCTAGAACCTGAGTGCCAAACTCAGGTCCCGGAAGGCCACAGTTCTGCAGATATCAGAGTATTCCCTCGTCTAAAACACTAACCTCTGCAGAACTCTGGCCATCCAGGACCTGAGTTTGGTACTCTGCACTCTTTTTTTTTTTCTTTAACTCTGTTTTTTAACATTATTTTTAGGTAAACACTGAACTGATTTTTCACACCCACAGTGTGACTCCCTGATTGCTTCCTTAGCTTCTTAGCTGTTATTTTTGCTTAGTATTTTTACCGTAAACTAGCATATCCTGCACTCTCAGCACATGCAACAATAGCTGATGAGAAGGTGATGTTTTCTACCTTGTGTTCTTTTTTGTGTATTTGTAGCTTTTGTAAGGCTGTCCAGCTCCATGGGAGGTTTGATGTGGTAAAAAGGGCTTTATAGCTGATTGATTTATGAAAAGGCACAAATGTTTGTACTTTGCTTTCCCTGCAGTGCTCCTGGCTATTATGTTTGTGTAGACTATAGTGAAGTATGTATGCAGACTCCAGAGGGCAGTCTAACTGCATTCAAATTTCCGATTGGCTTTTTGAACAGGATTTAGTTAGAGCAGTGCCCAACGTTAAGACAACATGCATGCAGAAATAGTATTTACAAATGCATTCATAACACATTATATAGCCTACATATCTCACTTAGTGGCCACTTTTACCAGATCCGCCTATTTATAACTGGTCCTAATGTAATCCACACATTTCTGGCACCACAGTTTTAGTTGTTCCTCTCATTATGTTTGACACAGATAAATTTCAGATGCATTGCATCTCATGCTTTAACTTGTGTTTTTGTGCAATTCATGAAAGATGAACATGAAACATGACAACTGTTATCATCTGTCAACCGACTTCAAATTATGATACTGTTTTCATAAATGCCTGCATTACACACTAACCTTTACATTATGACAGCTTATTACATACAGATGTCGAGTAGGTAGGCCTAATAATGCGGTCTCTACTTGTATGTTAGTATTTTTATATGTATTATGTGTATATATACAGTACCTGGTATTGTACAAAAGAAACTGACACGTAAAGCCATTTACCTGGGCAGTATCTGTTTATTTGTTCATTTGTTTGTGTTACTAGCAAACCTGTAGTCAAGGAAGCCCATATTTTCCAGTTACCATCCAATACCTTGTTTAGCTCATCAGTTTTTCATTAAGTGAAATCAGGTGCGCTGCTGATGGAACTGAACAAATCTATGCAATCAGGAACCAAACCTGTGTTCTTCTAACAGAATGTAACAGCACTGTTCTAACAAAACACAAATCACTGTTACTTTCTATTTTATTTGTTTATTTGTATTTAAACTGTTATATAGTACAGTTTAGTAGTATGGTATGAGCACACCTGCTGCTGAGGAACAGGTTTAAACATTTCATGTGACTTCCTAAAACTTTTGCACAGTACTGTGTAATCCTTTTTGTTTTTGTTTTGCTTGTTAGTGCACTAGCATAAGTAACCCATTTGCGTGATAGGACAGAGGACGAAGGCTGTATTGGTTTATTGGTAATAAAATTACAATTATGCATGTCATGGTGATCATGATCTGCTCACACTGACATTTACACATTCTCACTCACATCCACTCATACTTCTCATGAAGAGACCTCAGGTTTATGATGCCCTACATTACGAGTGTTTTTGTGGTACATTGTGACGTATTTCTGCGTGTGCAAACGTATTGGTCACCAAGTAAGCAAACAAGGAGACAAGTGTGGCATTAAAATAAGCATGTCAAGAGGTTTATTGAATACGACAGCTAGTTAATGTATAAACATGTTAGGGAAACAGATCACTACATATACAGATAAAGATACTTTGCATGTTTCTAAAATATTTACATTTCAACACTTAACTTAGATTTAAATAACATGTTTTCTGTTCAAGTCTTAAAATGGTTAATGAAAACATTTTTCTTTTAAAGTGCTTTCACATGTCTGAGAAGTAAATTTGACCTACTTGATTAGTGTGCATGTGAGGACAGCAGACATTCCTCCAAGGCTCCACTGAGTGAGGCTGTCCATATTTGTTTATGTGTTCATGTAAAGGAGAGCAACTGTGTTTTTATTAAGGAATCTTGTGTAGGCACGTAAATTGGTCAGGCACATAGTTGAATTTCCGTTTACAAGCTTTTGACAGCATGTTTGATGCTGTTTGTGTTCATGGATATGGCTGTGTCCTCTTGCGTGTGTTTGTACTCAATTTAACTTTGGCAGGCTCAGCCAAAGGTGATTAAAGAGATTTGAAGTAAGAGAGCAATCTCCTTCTAAACAAACAGTACAGGATTACAGTGGAGATAATGGAAAGTGGTCACTAGAGAGAGACATCTGTGTATTAAAGAGAATGAGAACAAATTATTCCACGCTTGGGACCCAGCCTTGAGAGGGGCTTTTAGCTTGCAGCGATGCTAGCTCTGAACCTGTATTCTAAGGGCTTAATGCCAAGTAGACCCTGTTGTCACATAGGATTTGTTTTCAGGTGTTGGGTGAAGCCTGTCATCAGATACAGTCTTATCCATAACTGTGAGGACTTCTGGGATTGACTGGGGAGGACTCTTCTCTTCCACTCTGACCAATGAGCTGGTAGAGACGATGCCCAAGGTTCTGGACTTGGCAGGTGCCTAATACGCAGCCCACGCGCATCAGCTGGCCGTGCCCATGACCCCGCGTCCCTATGAGGGCATGGCGACGGCCCCGCCTGCGTGTGGCAGGGCCACTGGTGCTGTGGCTGAGCACTGTGCAGGAATGCCTCGGTGGGGGCTCTTTGTGCAAGAGACTTCTCCAGACCAAACGGCGCTCACGCAACACTTCATTCACAGCAACTGAAGGCCTAGAAACCGTTTCCAAGGCCATATCACCTCCCACCTCCACCTCCCAGAGCTTTCTGGGAAAATTCACTCTGGGAAAGAGAGGGAGAGAGAAAGAGCAGGGAAGAATTGATCAGAGGAGAGAACAGACACGTACAATCAAATATGAACATTAAGTTTTAAAGTTGCTGTTCCTCAAATGCCAACAGAGGGCTGCATGGTATGGGCGAAATTGTAGTACTGCAGTCATATTGCTACATATTGTGATTGTGATTTGTTAAAAATGCAGTGATGAATCGTAAAATATGACGAGTTAAAGCGGCATTCTGACCTGAAACTTATCTAAGGGATGTGCAATGGGAGATAAGTACAGTTACAATCAAGTATTGAAGTACAGAGGTACATAAAAACAGTACATACAGTTAAAAGAATTGAGCAGCAAATGTAAATGTAAATATAAACACATTTATAAAATATGTATACTGCAACACGTCACATCAGTCAGATTAAACAGGACTGTACTGAGCTCACATTAGTGATTAGACGTGTGTAAATGAATATCTTAATGCACTTGTACACGTTGCGTTCTTTGTATTGTTTCATTAAAGTTTGCAGAAAGGCCTCATATAAAGACAATGAGACGTAACCTCTGTACTAAAACTGCCTCCTTATTGCTTTAACATTGAGTGGCTGAACGATTTCTCCAGTTTGATTTTCCAGAATACTTTTTTGTTTGCTTGAAAGTGGCTAGCATTCATATTCTGTCAGTACTCAAACATGTATGTTTGCACTAAACATATTACAAAACTAGTTTATTTTTGAAGGAAAAATGTTTCAGATGTACTCCTCCTTATGCTTCTAGTTTACTTTGTGCCACTGACCTTTTTGTCTAGTAATACAGAAGACACAGATGCTACCAGGTAGCTGTACTTAACATTTGATGGATGTCGCAGTGATAAAAAAAGAAAGGCACAACTTTCTTAGAAGTTTGGCAAATGACAAAAATATGTTGCTCCTCCAGAATGCTGTTGGCCAGGTGGGACAGTTCTACCAAACACAGAGACTCCTGAGATCCAGACATAGTCTGTTTCACAGGAAGGTTTTTTAAGGCTGTCCTCAAGTGGCATGACCTGTGGCATGCAGTAATATAACTTGGACATTCTCTGCCTTTTGTCTCAGACTGTGGTGACTGTGTCTGGTCTGTCTCCCATAGACGAAAGTCTAAGTTTTATTCTTAGAGATGTGTAAGCGTTTCTGAGTAAGACAGTGAGGTGAAAAGTCCTTCCTGAACTTTCTCTTTCAGCAGTGCTCTCTTACTGCTGTCTCTTTCGTTTTCTTTTCTGTGCTTTGACTGAAGAGCCCGCCCTGTCTCTAAATACCTGGCTGTGTTTCCTCTTTCTATTGTAGATGGAGAGGTTCCATCTAGGAAGGGGTCTGGTTGAACTCCACACTGACTGAATTATGTAAGATACAAACGTCTCTCTTTAATCATTACTTGTTAAAACCTGAGTTGATTTTTATATCATGTGATGCAGCTTCTTTCTAGTAATTAAACTGTTTAGTGAATTGTTAAGCTGAGAGAGCGGCTGGCAGAGCTGCAACAGTACAGCAGAGTTGCAACACAATCTGTCTCCTCCCTCTGAGCAGTGGAAGAGCTTATATATGAAAGGGAGCTATGAGTTATGTGATACACTGCATTAGGACCTGCCTTATGTCAGCTTTGTTAGAGAGAGCCGCCTTTACAGGGATTAGCATATGAGTTTCACCTTAGTGTTATAAATCCATTTTGACCCCAATTTACTTACCAGGTTATTAGCGCAAGAGTACAAGTGACTTTATAAAAGATTTAGGTGTTGTGGTAAAGGGACAGAGCGACCTCTGGGTCTGTTTTTCTTAGCGATTACAGATAGCGTCTAACTTATGGCTCTGTACAGAAATTGGACCCACAGCCAGTCTTTTTACTGCCAAAGGGGATTACCTGCCATACTTTCTTTATACAGTTATTGCATAATTCATCTCTTGGATTAGCTCAAGTATTAATACTTTATTAACTACATGTGTAAAATCATTATCTAGTTATTAACATCTAAAAGTTATGAACACTTGTTGCAATCTCAGGGCCCACATATTAGTTCACTTTCATAGCTACATAACTTACATACTAGTTTAACAGTAGTTACTGAGTAATTAAAAGCATTTACTAGAAAATTATGTCTTAAGATTAAAAAAGGAAAAATAAACTTTAAACCTTAAACTATTCACTTCTATGAAACTTATATGTGAGTTATGTAGTTATGAGTGGTGTGGACCCTTATAAAGGTTTCTTTAAAAATATATGTCTTTATTTGGAGATTTTTCCTAGAATGCAAGTATCCCTAAGGTAATAGTAGATTTAAGTAAAACATGGAAAGGTAATGTCACTGAGTGGCATTATATGGTAAAATAGAAAAAGAAACGGCACCATTTCTGAGTGCACTGCTTAGTGTGTGAGAGGATATAGGGCAATGCTTGGCTCCCACTAATCCCTAACAGAATGTTTCTAATCAGGATCATTCTGGAGGCTACACAAACACACAGGCTTCAAAATATCATTAATGCTACAGTGCTAATAATGGATGTTTGGTTTGAAGTTGGTTGCAATTTGTGCTTCTCACGATCCAGGCAATCCTAAACACATTTAGTGATGTTGAGATTTGGGCTCTGAGGAGAACACCAGCAGCTTCTTTGTTTCATTTTTTTGTCTATTTCCTTTTCTCAGTAATGGCTTCTTGTCAGCTACACATCCTTTCAGACTCGTTGAGTTGTCTTCTCATAGTGGAAGGATGGACAGAAACACCTGTGTACTTTTTTCAGTTTTGAAGCAAGAGTCGAGTTTGATGAAAGCTTTAAGTTTAATCTCTCTCTCTCTCTTTCTCTCTCTTGATATATATATATATATATATATATATATATATATATATATATATATATACATCTATATGAAAACTGCCAATTTTATAGTTAATTCTCCTTCCCCTTCCTCATCTCCTCAGAAATATCTCTTGAAAAAAATAACTTAAGGGTCTTTTATTAAAAAAACAAGGGTGGTCTCTGACTTTTGCTCAGTACTGTATGTCACCAGCTGAGTGTTTCATGTCATTTTAAATGAACAGCTCATAATACTTAAATAAATTGTATGTTTATTTCCTAGATATCTGCTTTTTGTCTAAGGTGATTTTAAGAGAAGAATTACACAACAAAGAATCGATGGAAACAAGCTATGTCAAGTTTGCAAGACAGTACTTAGAAAGCATGAGCTCATTAACTTTATTAATGCAATCTTAAATATCATCTGAAATGGTAGTACTGTATAGTTGGAAAATTTTGCAATGTTGAATAGTGTCAATGCTGCTCAGCTTCAGTAGACATGTGGGCAGTAGTTAATACCTGCGATTGCTCAGCTGTAGTAAAATTAGATGTGGTGTCGAAGAGTGTTGGAGAAATCTTTCTACTGATCCGGGTTTTGCAGAGACACGTGAGAGCTACACCTGACTGACTGACTGGCACTCAGCACTGGACCAAGTAAAACCCTGATTCTCTATTACCAGAGCTGGAGGCACAGAAAACCAGGGTCTGGAGCACAGTGTGTATGTGTGTGTGTGTGTGTGTGTGTGTATGAAACTGACGCTAAAACCTGAGTTTGGCACCAAATCACTCCTCTGTCCAATCAAATGTAGGCCAGCACAAGAAAGACACAAAGCCGCCTTCCTGACCAAGGTCACCAGTCTTTAAACACATGCTTTTCTCTCTGACACAAACACACACAGCACACCAATGAACTGGTACTAATAATGCAACACACTGCATCTGTCAGCTCACGCTGCCTGCAGAAAACAGCCTTGAGTGAACATGTAGAACACTAAACAACGGCCTCTTCTTGCGCACAAGAGAGCACTTTAAAACCTACTGCTCTGTTACTGCAGCACTGAACGCTGAAGGGTGGTAGCAGCTCATTTCATTCCCAGCTTCTTGTTACTTACTACTGTTCCTCCTCTCTCTCTCTCTCTCTCTCTCTCTCTCTCTCTCTCTCTCTCTGTCTCTCTCTTTCTGTCTCTCTCTACTTAATGTTTAATTGGCCTCTTCTCTTGTCTTTTCTGCTTTCTTCATGATTTTTAACTAATCATTGCCCTGTTTATTTTCACTTATTGTGCTATGTTAAGAAAACCTTGTATCTCAAAGTGCAATGGTAACTTTGTAAAAGCAGGAAGAAACATTATTCAAATCTTTTAATGCAACTTGAAATGTTGGCTTTTTGCAGTGGTCCATGCATCATGAAATTCACAAAAAGGAAAGCTCTGTTGACATCTCAGAATTGCCCTTTAAGTGTAAAAATAAATAAGTAAATTAAAACTGAAAAAAATGGAGTCACGCTAAGCCTTCTGGAAGTCCTAGACACATCATGGACTGCGAACAAGCTGTTCTTGTTCAATCTAAAATGTGCGTGTGCACCAACCATCGGCTTAGCACTAACATATTATTAGAAACCCCATAGGGCGCTAGCAGAAATTTGCTTTATTGTAGAGGTGGGTTTTGATTCTCGCTTTGGCACTCATGGCCTGAACTGAAGGCCTAGCTCCAATAGTCTAATACTGTAATGGCTCACCACTGGCAATACGTGTATGTGTGAGTGTTATTCCTGAGTGTGATTAATAGCCTCTTATCACTTTCATTCAGTATTCCTGCTGGCCTGCGACATGTGATTAGATAAGAATCATCCCACCTTAGTCATCAAAGTCTGCTCTGATGAAACTGGCCATTAGAACATGTTTCAAATGTACCAGCATCTACCGAGTACAACAGAGTTACACAATGTACCCCAAACCAGCTTACACCAGCTTGTACCTCCAGCTAAAGTCTTTCTGTCTTTCTTTCTTCACAGTTCCGTTCCCAGAAAACAGAGGAAGGTGCAGTATTTCTCACACGTCTAGCCATGCCTGTCTATGAACATGAGAGGAAGGAGAGTCGCTCAGAGGAGAGAGCAGAGTGTTGAAGCAGACAGAGCGCTGACCGGAGATGGACAAGTCTGGCAATTGTTCAGTTCTTTAGGCCATTGTGAGGGAATGAAGAAGAGGAGATAAGAGAGGGGAGGGTTCATTACCAGATGAAGGTGAAAAAGAGTCTGAAACCAGTTCCCACATTTACAGCCCAGTAGGAGGCCTCACACTCACACAAGATGAGTGACGCAAGGACTGAGATGACCACATTAAAACTCCATCCCATTATTAAGTATACGTGATGTGGCAATCGTAGTACTGTTCATGGCTCAGGCTAAACATGGATAAACTGGAAAAACTTAGAGAAATCCACCTTACATAAGGTGTGTGTGTGTGCATGCTTGTGTGAAAGTGAAAAAGAGGATTTAATTCCCCGTTGAACATTAATGTCCTAAATCACCTCAGAGCGACCTTGCTTTGGCTGCACAACCTTTTCCCACATCTCTCCTCACAAACGCTCTGAGCTGAAATTTATGCTGTTACGTTCTGTCTCTTAATACAACACAGACATTTTCAGATGACCATGCTCTTGTCTTATCTGTCCTGCTGTCCACTGAAGGTTGCCTAGATGCTCCATTTTTATCCTTCAAATTCTCACACTCCTGCATTTGTCAGTCTTTCATAGCTTGGAGTGTCTATAAATAGGTGAGTGAGATCTCCTGACAGTAATGCTAAGAATGGCCTGCCCTATTTAGCAGAGGTGAGTAGTTGTTGTTACATGTACTCAGTTACATGTACTCAAATACATTTTTTATGGAAGCAAAAGTTCCTTTCTAAAAGGTCAAAAAAGCTAACTAAGCACTGAATGACTTATAGAATCGCAGCAGAACTTGGTAGTACATCCAGCATCTATCAGCTTAGGCACTAGAGTTTAATGGGCTATGTTCTTCTGTGACTGATTGCAAAGCAGCACAGATGCTGTCACCAAAAAACATAATTAAATTAAACACAAAAGGAATTACTAAGTAAATGTTAAGGGCTAAAACTTCAAACTGAGTTTGAGTAAAAAGTAGATTGCCTTCCTCCAAAATATACCTGAGTAGAAGTAAAAGTATCACCGCTATTAAAAGAGACACAGCTTTCGCACAAGTATTGGTGCTTTATTTTCCAGCTGTTGTAGGCCACAGCTACGCCATACATAGGCAGAGTTTACAATAACAATAAGACAATAAGAGTCCTTTGCAGAACTAACCCAGTAAATGGGTTAATGTTAAATGTTAAGCTCACATGTAAACAGTCCATGAACATGCTACAGTATCATCATTTGAATATAGTCACCTATTTTTTTTACTTGAGTACTGGGTAAATGTAATTAGTTATTACTCACATCTGCTTCTACTTATATTTGTAAGGAAAGGAATTTACTTTTTACTCAGTTATAGTTTTGTCTTTGTTTATTTAGTTACTAATTTTGTATTTGGTTTCATTCCATTTTGTTGGTGACAGCATCTGTAGCTCATGTCCCCTGTAGAGTACTGCATTGCCTTGGTCACAACTCTGAAATTTTTTCAGTAAGTGGATAAAAAAAGAGAAAAATAGACTCTAACAGAATTTAGTTCCTATGCTAAAAGACACTGTGTTGTACTAGTATGTTCTGCTGCAGGTTTTAGTTACGTTAGTTAGTAACTAGTGAAGTTATCCAGTAGTTTTTTGACCTGGTATTTTTTTCACTTCTACTCAACTTGTTTTTATCCTAGAGTCAAGTAGTAATAATGTTTGGAGTCTGGGTTTAGACTACTTTACCATGTCTGCTATTCAGCCTGATAGTACTGGAGAAGATGTTTAACCCGAGAAGCTTTTTTAGATTTGCTTTTTATATCTTTGATATTCTTATTGACTTTGTACTGCTGTACTCTTTTAAAAAAGATGGTTCTTCAAGTGTTCCTTAGTAAAGAAAATGGTTCTACATAGAACCATGAACACTCAAAGAACCCTTTACAAGATTAAAGGGTTCTTTGCGTGGTGAAATTGTTCTTCAGATTGATAGAAATTCTACATAGAAGGTTTTTGAAAATTGGTCAATATAGCACCAAAAAGCTATATAACAATAGAAGAACCCTTTTCAGAAAGGTTCTATATAGACCCATGTGCAACGCATTCTCCATCAACCTAAATAACCTTTTCATGATGCAAAGAACCCTTTAAGTTGTTTTAAATTGTTCTTTGAATGTACATAGTTCTACTTAGAACCGTCGTCTCTGCTGAAAAACCCTTGAAGAAGCATCTTTTTTGAGTGCGACGCTGTTCACAGTCACAGTGCGCTGTAAGTGCTGCGCTTTTCAGTCGCAAATTAAGGGAAACTATATGAAGGTCCGCTCACTGTGCAAAAAAAAAAGATGATCATTTTCCCAGCATGCTTTGTCATATTTCTGATCTAATCCCAGCCGTAACCTCAGGATACAAAATGAAAAGTTTGGGCTCTTTTACTTTTTCAAATACGAAAGCATTTGTCCTCGTGGTGACCAGCCAAATGCACAGTGCACCCCAAACTTCAAAATGTTCATCCTGGGTACATCTGGTCCCCTAAAAAGAACACCAGCACCCATCTGCAGCATTTAACGTCATTCCTTCATTCTCTCTCCCATGCTGAGTCTCTCTCTCTCTCTCTCTCTCTATCTTTCTCCCTCTCTCTCTATCTTTCTCCATCTCTCTCTATCTCTCTCTCTCACCTGTTGCGCAGGGGTGCGGCTCCGCGTGCCGTCAGCAGCATCAGCGCGGTGCAGCACGCGCACAGGAGCGGCGGCGCTGTCATCACACTGAGGCGAGTGCAGAGGAGAGGCTCCCCTCAGTGAAGCTGCTCAGCGCTATCAGTGTTAAAGCCTGAGAGACAGAGAGAAGATACAGGGTGAGTTCAGCGCCGTCGCGCTCTGAAACTTCTGTCACTTATCATTAAATGAAGCGTGGCGCAGCGCGCGGGCCAGAAAGCGGACTGGCTGAAACTGTAGCGCGCGGATCCAGAGTCACTGCGATCAGGGCTTTCTATCCTCCTCCTGTCCACTCACCCTGCTGTCCGAATGCAGTCTGGTCAATCCTCCAGTTTTCAGATGGGTCAGAGAGGTTGGCGCGCGGAGTCGAGTGTGCCCGGCGCGCGTTCCGGTCGAGTTAAATATGGGAGGGCGGAGCGCGCGCTGTAAAGATCCAAAGTAGCACCAAATACTGCCAGAGAGATGGAGAGAAGAGGCACACAGTAGTAGAGCTGCTCCTTTTCCTCAGTTACAAGTGCGCTCTTTAAAAAGATGTTCTTTAGTAAAGACATTGGTTCTATACAGAACCATGAACACTCAAAGAACCATTTGCATGCTTTAAGCGTGCTTTGCATGGTGAAATGGTTCTTCAGATTGATGGAGAAAGTGTTCTTTACTAAAGAACCCTTGAAGAACTATCTTTTTGAAGCGTGTACAGCAGTATGAAGTCAACAAGAATACCAAACAAAGATATAAAAGGCACATCTAAAAAAAGCTTCCTGGGTAAAACATCTTCTACAGTGCTATCAAGCTGAATAGCAGAAGTGGGTAAAGTAGCCTAAACTCATACTCCAGGCATTGATACTGCTTGGCTTACTGGAGTAGCCAGCAGTTTTGATAGATTTGAACTCTCTTTACTGTGTATTTTCAAGTGATATTTTAGCTTCTGCCTAAGTATATCTGTGGAAAAAGAAATCTGCTTTTCACTCCTATTTCAGTTATTTCAGTCTCATTTACTTTTATTTAATTATAAATTGTTTAAAGGGCCTGTGTCTTAAATTTTTCTTGTATGTAATTTTTTCCCGAGGTCCACCTTATGTCGTTTATGTGGTTTTGTGTACCTCATTTTTGAATGACTGATTTAAAAGTGACCTGTTTTGACTGGTTGCCCTGTATCGTGCCTCATTCAGAAAGCAGTTCAAGCTGAAACCCTCCTTACAACTTCAGTGCGAATGGGTGGGGCTAAACTTCTGTAGACTGAGTAGATGGATGTGTACATCTGTTGGTTTTTTGGTCATCATAAAATCAATTAATTAATATCAGGCTGTTTTAACAGCTTTGCTTTCATTTATGGACTTGTGTGGACTACATTTTGAAACTTAAGCCGTGTTTACATACAAACTGTTTTGTTTCACAATCAGTGAGGAAAGTTTGGTTTTCCATGATATGAGAATTTCATTCTGTTCTGTTCATGACATCCAGGGCCGTTTTTTGCTGTAAGTGAGATAAGCAGGCTCTTAGGGCCTCAAGACCACCAGAGGGTCTCAAGTACATAACTTTTAAAATTTCTTCAGTATTGTTTGTAGAAAAAGGTGAGATCTTACTTTTTCAAGATCAAAATTAATTAATTATTCTTTAATTGATACAAAAAGAAATGTCTGGAGCTAAAAGGTGTTTAACAGCTTTATAGCAACCCATTTATTTTGGACTCCCTCAGGAGCACCCTCTAGTGCCCGGCCAAATTGGAAGACATCATTGAGAGGCAGTTCTTCTCGCTACAAATTTTCTGGCTGGAGTTAATTATAGTGAAGCATTAAGCGCTTTAGAGTTTTTTTCATCTGATTCTTTTTCACTCCTACTCAGGTTGGTTTTTGGTAGCTTTGTGAGTCATTAATTCATTGAATTACAAGACTTTGGCTTGAGGATGGGTTTAGGCTGTTCTAACTACCTCTGGTATTGAGGAGGCGTGTGTGGTCAGGAGCAGGATTTGGAGATTAAGCTGTCCTCTCACCTCTTTAATCAGACTACAAATAAACATGGCAGACAGCTTATTACCCCTTTTAATGCTATTTATAGTCATTATGGTTCAAACACAGCTGGACTTTAAACCACTCAAAACAGGGCGTTCTTTTATGTACACACACATGCTAATCCTTAGGCCTGTATAGAATGTGCGTAAGGGTAAAGACTACTCTTTAAGTATGTATTGGGTCTATTGTAAATTAATATTTCAGAGCTTTTAGTCAGGCCTGTGTGAGTTTAGTAATTGTCTGTATTGGCTACATTGGTATGTGAAAGTGGGGAGAGTGGGGCACATATTTTTGTTTTTACTTAATAGTTTTAAAAGCATTTGAGCAAGATTAATCTTATTTTTATGTATATGCAACCTGCACATCTCTACTACGAAGTAAAATATTAACTTTATTTCCAGAGTGGGTGCAAATGTTACAACCAAAACATAATAAGTTCAATACAAGTCTCTGTTGTGGTTTGATCCAGTTGAGCTTTCCAACCCAAATACATACAAAATCTATTTAACAAAATAAATATGGACAGTGAAAAGAGCGTTTCAAATGTGGTAAATTTATTTTTCATGACAAAGTAGAACAGTAAATATCAGCCCAATAAAATAACATTACATGACAGTTACATTCATAGCATATTTTTGGTGCATCTGTGCTAGAAAATTTCCAAAAAGCTGACTGTGAATCTGTATGGGAGGGATTTTGGATTTAGCTGTAACACTGTGTTAAAACTACCCCCACCATGTAGAGGCTGAACATTAACCTGGCTAGCTCATGCTGTGAATTGTTTAGTCAAGTCAAGCCAAGTCAAAGTTTATTTATATAGCGCTTTTTACAGCAGGTGTTGTCACAAAGCAGCTTTACAGAAAAATCCAGGTCCAAGCCCCCATGAGCAAGCCAATGGCGACAGTGGCAAGGAAAAGCTCCCTAAGAGCAAGAGGAAGAAACCTTCAGAGGAAACAAGACTCAAAGTGGAAACCCATCCTCCTCTGGTCGACACCGGACAGCAAACAGCGTTAGTATAAAGTATTGTAGTACACAGGGTGGGCAACTGTTCAACTCGGCAAAGAAAGGAAAACACACAGAGAGTTAGTTCTGTAAAGAGTGACTGATCACAGATTACAGTATTAACAGAGCAGCAGAGACTCCGGCAGGAGAAACCAGAAAGGTAACAGAGACATGAGGGCTCCTTTCCGCTCCACCGTCAGCAAACTTGCGTGAACGTGTGAGAGCAGCGGGATGACAGCACCAACACTCCCAGTTTACCATAATACTCTATGACCATGAACCCCAGATCTGCACCTTTTATCTGACAGGGAAAACTAATTACAAAAGGCTTGACTAAATAAGTAAGTTTTTAGCCTAGACTTAAAGACTGAGGCTGTGTCTGAGTCCCAGAGACTGACTGGAAGATTATTCCAAAGCTGGGGAGCCTTGTATGAGAAGGCTCTCCCCCCTGATGTAAATTTATTATTGGTTCATAGTATGAGAGAAGTTCACTCAGGTACTGAGGGACGGGTTTATAGTACGAAAACTCAAGAATCTCAAGAAAATCTGTCTGACTGCTGACAGAATTCTCCAATAACCTTGCTACAATACAAATTACAAAATACAAAAAGTATGATTAAAAATACAAAAAGATGACTAAAGTACGTTCTACTTCCCCGCCCTTAAACTACACAAAATATCCATGTTACATTTTACATCTTGTTGGTTTGTGCTCTGTCCTCTATACGTCCCCTGCGTTTTGCCCTTTTAAAACTGCAACAGAAAGACGGGTGTGTCTCTGTTGTGTGTGTTATGATGGGGAGCTCACTCTGCTCCGATAATGACGCACTGCTGACTGATATCTCAGTCTGCTGACTGCGTATATTAGTGAAAGTGCAATGATTCTGGCCTGTGTGCATGAAAAGCTTATACTGTCTTGGCCTTGATCTTTTGTGTCAGGTGTTTATCAGTCTGTCTGGATTACGAGCAAGTGCTTAATAAGGTGACAGGAGAAAGGTGACAGGACCCAACAGCGCTGAATGTATCTGTGTCTTTTTTTATAAAGCAGTAAAAGAAATGTCAACTCCTGCATATACAGCTTGTATAATGTCCATAGAAAAGCATTGGCAATAGAATGGGACGCTTTGAAGCAGCCGCACACAAGCCGAAGTTCACCATGCCCAGTGCAGAGTGTCGGCTATAAAGCTTGTGAGAACATGCTTCCAGATAGCAATTAATATCCTACCATGCTCTGTGGCATGTATGAATACACTGAGAGGGCCTACTTTATTCTATGATGGAACATTTCAGTTCTGATGGGAGTGATCTCTTCTTGATTGACAGTACTCCCAACCACAGGGCATGAGGGGTCTGACTGTTTTGAAGGGTATGAAAATGATCATCATATGAAAATGAAGGTCATGTGCTGTGAGCCCTCCAGTACAATATATGCGAAGGCGCTGTTCTTGTAGCTTGTGGTGGCCCAACATCTTACTAAGACACTCAGTTTGTCTCATTTAAATTACACTTGCCACACAGGTGCACATTGTAGTTCTACGATTATGCAATTACACAATTACAGATTGTAGTCCATCTGTTTTTCTGTATACCTTGTTGGCCCCCTTTACCCTGTTCTTCAATGGACAGGACCCCCACAGGATCACCACAGAGTATTATTTGGGTGGTGGATCATTTTCAGGACTGCAGTGATACTGATGTGGTGGTGGCATGTTGGTGTGCCACAGTGAGTGGTGTCCACACACTGTCCACTCTATTAGAGAAACCTACCTTGTTGGTCTACCTTGTAGATGTAAAGTCAGAGATGATAGCTCATCTGTTGCTGCACAGTTTGTGTTGGTCATCCTCTAATCATCAGTGGTCACAGGGCGCTACCCACAGGACGCTGTTGGCTGGATATTTTTGGTTGGTGCACTACTCTCAGTCCAGCAGTGACACTGAGGTGTTTAAAAACTGCAGCAGCACTGCTGTGTCTGATCCACTTGTCACCACCACATCAATGTCACTGCAGCACTAGGAATGATCCACTAACCAAATAATACCTGCTCTGTGGTGGTCCTGTGGGGGTCCTGATCATTGAAGGAAAGGGGGATAACATGCAGAGAAACCGATGAACAACCGTCTGTAACTGTAGAACTACAAAGTGCACCTGTGTGGTAAGTGGAGCTGATCAAATGGAATAGAGTGTATATACAAAGTAGGTGTACATAATGAAGTGCCCGCTGTGTGAGTGTGTTTCCTAAATGTATTAAAATCAACAAATAAACAGTAATTATGCATTAAAATGTACAGAAGTGAGTTTTCTGTGGAAGATATGTTTCACTTAGAAAATCAACAAAACTAGA